CTCTCAGCCAAACAGCATGCAAGTGGTGTTTTGGAGTGGGTTTTTTTCCAGTTTTCCCCCACACTTGTAGTGACCTGACTGAGGTTACTGGGCTTTACACAGACTTTCTGGCTTGTATTTCTGCAGCTGCTGCCCCAATAACTCCCACCAGCCAAGTCAGGAAAGGCCAGCAGCGTGGATTGCATTTCCACTGGGAAATGAAGAGTGAGGAAGTGTGAAAGAAGACCTTGGAAAACCCTTTGTCGTGCAATCATGATCTGTCCCATTATGGATCCCATTTTTCCAGGGAGATTTTGATTGGCATCAGTAGTTTCCTCAAACAGAACCATCAGGATGCCCCATTTCAGGTCCTTTCTGGCAATTCCTGAGATTAACATGGATACATCCCAAATAAAACACATGGGTTTCCTTGTAAACCCATGGCACAAGGAGCTGATGAGGCTGACAAGTCACCTAGAGGTGTGACCCGGGACCAAATTCGCCCTTTCTTGATTATTTAGTTGTCTCCAGGTGTAGCTGCTCTCCCAGAGCCATCTCTGCTGGGCACACACAGCTGCTGCCCAGCCACACACCCAGCAGCAATCACCATTAACTCTTGGTTCCTCAACGGCTTTCTCTGCTTAGTCTGGATTAGTCTTTTTTCTCTATATAATTAACCTGATCTCTTCCTTACTAGAACAACAAAACAGCAAAAAAGCTTAAAAATGTTACAGACAAGGGGGGACTTGCTTAGTCGTGCTAAAAAAAAAATTATAATAAGAGTTCTACAGGTACCTCAGTTACACCCCCAAATCTCACACACACGCTTGTTACTAGAAAAAAGGAATTACCACTCCCTTGACTTTCTGTGGATAAGTTTTTGCTCCTGAAAGGAAGCACTGTGGTGGCTGCTGCAAGTAACGGGAGCCAAACAAACTTCCTTTGCTTCTGCTGCTTCGGGCAGAAGCTGAGCTGACAAGTACTTAAACCATGGGAGCACTAAGTTATCGTTAGAGATAAGGAGGACATTAGGGGTCGAACGGGAGGGTTGAGCTTTTTGGGGAGGAATGAACCCAGTGAAGCCGTGCCGGCTGTACGGAGTCCGTGGATCCCAAACCACGGTCAGACACGCGACAAGTAACTCGTGTAAAATCTAAACACAGCCCTTTCTTGCCGTTCCGAACTGTTCCACGGCCTCCTTCCCTCTTCCCCAGTGCCTGCAGAGACCCTTCTCTTCTCTTCCCAGCCCGTGTGATCACCTACCTGTGATCCCTCACAGTGTCCCTGCGCTGCCCTCCGGCCGGGAATTCCGGGAAGGTTAAGAAGATGGAAGCACGGCATCCCTGTCTGCTCTAGAAAACGCGGCTGCTCCTGTAAGAAGCCCAAAGACTCAAATTATTCTAAAAAGTTGCGACAGTACCGCAAACTATCCAACATAACTACTTTTGATATTTTTTTTCTTTTAATGCAGCTATTTGTTATTAATAGGCACGCACCGAAGTGATTTCTCCCCCCGGGTGACTCTAACCCGCCTATACCGGGACTGATGTAAGGGTCAGACACAGCTGATCCCCCCGTTAGTTAGCTCGTTAGTGCTGGGCTGCCGGGGCACCTGTGATTTCCCCTCATTGCGTGTTGTTTGGGTAGTGCTGGGTACTTTTTAATGCGTTATTCACCGGGAACTACGAGACCTTACTGCGGAATCTCCCAGCCAGGACAGGCAACAGCGCGCCCAGGCTTCCAATTAACCCCGTGTTTAACAGCTATGGGCTGCATTTATCGCTCTTTCCAAAGCTCTGCACGCAGTCACACTGGGCTCAGGCGGGGCTGCTGCTCACACATGGTTGGTGTTTGTTTGTTTATTTATTTATTTATTGGCTGATTGATTAATTTATGTACCTGCGGGCGGGACACGCTGTCCCCCTGCGGGGCTGTCCCTGTGTGAGGGGCGGGAGCAGCCGCTGCCCCGACCGCCCTCCTTCCTCCCGGCGCGGCCGCTGCCTCGGCACATGGGGAGGGCTCCTCCTGCACCGCCCGCGGCTCAGCCGCTGCCGGGGAGCCTCGGCCGGGCCGCCCTCCTGGCGCTCGGATCGCCCCTCCGAGCCCGGACCGCCCCTCCGAGCCCGGACCGCCCCTCACAGCCGGGGCCGACCCTCCGAGCCCGGACCGCCCCTCCAAGCCCGGACCGCCCCTCCGAGCCCGGACCGCCCCTCAGAGCCCGGACCGCCCCT